TGATAACGTAGTGCAAGCTGAATCCTTGGGTTCCTTTAAATCAGAGCTAGATAAGATTTTAACAACTCTGAGCTATTAGTTAAGTTCTCCCCAAGCGAGCTCAATGGGCCGAATGGCCTCCTCTCGTTTGTATAGTTCTTATGTTCTTATGTTCTTAATGGACCAGCCACCTGTGATGTACGTCTAGGTAAGCAAAACTTTAGCAATTAGTTATTTCAAAGTTCTATCTCATCTCTCTTAATGGACCAGCCACCTGTGATGTACGTCTAGGTAACAAGCTCCCCTGAAATTAGCATTTCCTGAAATCCTTTTATATTTTGCCATATTCTGATATGACTTACCAACACAATGGCAAACCATGAAAAAAAGTTATCTATACAACCAAGGTCCAAGGTATTGCATCTGTTTATTATTTCCATTCAGATACCACTCAAGTACCACACAGCAAATATTATGTATTTACAAGCCTATACAATCATATATGGCTGACATTGCCATCTCAAAGCTGCACAGTTAAAGGTTTCAATCTAATCCCTTACTCTGTTCCCTTACAGGTTTCCTTGTCAAATAAAAAGGCATTTTAAATACTATAAAATTAAAGATAAAAAATTATCTAAATAGGGGTTGACATACAGGGAGTAGACACAATGGAAACACCAAATGAAAAAGGATGCTACCTTTGAAGTAACTAAATAACAATTATAAACAGCTACAAAGTTGGGTCATGTTAGACTGAATGCCAGTTAGTGTCTGCTATTGAAGATCCTTCACAATCAGCACTTTGGTGTTGACACAATGCAACTGACAGAGCTCCAAAATGGCCAAACATCGAGTACTCGACCTGCAGAGTGCAAAGTCGATTTCTGCATCCTCAGTTCCTCAGGGAACTCTAAGTTTGTTTTCCTGAAGAATGGTCCAGTGTCCCACTAAGCACAGTTTAAAGAAAGGTTAAAGGTTGTTATGTAGGAAGCATGTGGTCCTACTCCTTACTAGGCCTTTGCTATTGGTATATTTCAGAGAAGCTTTCCAACAGGACTGGTTTATCCTCCAAAATGAACACAACAAAGAAAAATATCTGCCACTTAATCCATCTATCTTTCACCCCCTTAACCAGTATAGAGCAGAGGTGGATAGTTCTGGTCCAGAAAGTAAAAATCCAGACCAAGATTTTGTTTCAACCAACTAGTATAAAGTATAAAAAGGTCACAGCCACAGAGTACACAACCGATTGGGTGAAACAAAATCCTGGTCTGGATTTTTACTTTCTGGACCTGAACTAAATACCTCTGATAAAGGGTCAGAGGGAGCCTCTCCCAGGCTGGCAGGGGAACATACACTAATTCGTGGAAAAACATGCAAGCTCCACAAACACAAAGTAGGGAAGGTAGGCCAACCCTTAACCTGTAGCGTGAGGCAACAGTGCCACCCAGTCAACCACCAACCACCATTTGCCACCTACTATGAACTTAGACGTTAATAATTTCTTAATGGTTCCAAAGTTGAGCTGTTGCGTTATTTGTTGGAAATTCCATTTCTTTCAGATTTTAATTTTGGGGCAATTCATTTTCAGACACAATTTGAACTTTTATAGAAATTAACTAGAACTTAGCATACGTTATGTCTGAAGTACATCCAGTATGTGGAATATGCCTGTAGGAGTATCTGAAGTATAGGACAACACAGAACAAGAAGATGTGACAGAGGTGAAGGAAATAATGCCCCCTGAAGATATAATGTGACCCACCATTCATGTAGTTTTGATTGTCATTAATTGTGCAGCAATTGTCAAGACACCTTATTTGACGCACCAGTTTTGCATTAATGACACTTTGTGGCTGGCACTGAAGATATAAACACATCTTAAATGACCTAATTACATAACATTGTTGTGATAACACTACATTTGTTTACTGTGAGGAAACAGAAATACTTTAAAAATGAATGCTGTTAACAACTGCTGTTTTTTTCCCAGTGTCACCAAGGCAACAGACTACTCTTACATTTATTACATTACCAAAAGACATATCTTTTATAAAATAGCTTTCTTAGCCATGGGTGGAGAAATATTTATGGAATATTTCTAATGATGTCATCTCTATTTGTCATGATTTCAAATATGCCTTAGTTTCTTAATTTATCATATTACGTTAATTGGATTGATTCATGGATTCTATGGCCCCATTCAACTACTGCAGTCTCAGAACCACTTGAGAGCCGGAACCCGATTCCAGAGCTGCTCCAGAGAGATGCTGGGTCTCATTGTAAAAAGTTTAATCAGCAAGAAGGTTCCTCCAATTGCAGATGCGGTGCCACATACAAACAGGCCTCTAGAAATCACCTGAAAACAAGAAGTTAATGTTTACTAATACAGTATTTACAAAGAAACAAATGGTTTGTTTAAGAAATTATTATAACAGCATCTTCAGAATGTTAACCCCAGTTGTATCTATGCTTATATTTATCTCTTAACCAAGCCAGGGGCCTTTTCCAAATTAATTCTGTTTTCAGGAATTAATTTGTCAAAGCCATTTACTCATGCATGGATATGCCAATAAGTATTTTCCAAGCTGCGTTTCAGCAGGCTTAACGCTGTCAGTGTTCTAGATTGAAATTTAATTGAGTTAATCAGGAAAGACATGTTCTCCTAAGCTAAGACACAACTAGAAGTAAATGCCTTTTCTCCCCTTCAAATATAACAAATCAGAAGCTTTGCTGTATCTTAGTAAAAGTCATGCACTGTCCCTGTGGTCACTCAGACTCTTTTTTGAGATTTTTTGCTTTGGCTGGCCTCCGTCCAATTACGCAATGCCAGATCATCAGATATCTAATAAACGAACAAACAAAGATCCTGCTTACCTTGTTCTGCCATTGCCACTGTCTCACGGCTTCATGGTATCTCATCCTGCTGAATGTTACCTAAGGGCATAAAATGGGAGTGGAAAGCACCAGATACAACAGATGAATGATGCCGTTATGGAGAGAGGCCAATTAGATTGGACTTCACAGCTAAGGCTGTTCTGTCAGTGCTGCCCTCTCTCCTGGGTGTGCAGAATAAGGCAACGTAATTTTAGTTCTTCTCACTCTCTCAAAAAAGGCACTAAAAAAGGAAAATATTGCAATACTAAAAGAAAACAGAGATGTGCTTGTCTTTCTTTGCTTGACCTTTATATATAAAACTCAAGTGAAGAAAGACTGGAAAAAACACCTTAAATTGAAAAAACTGGAATATGGACTTGCTGTATGGAAATTATATTATTCTTTGAATATTAATAGCTAATAACAGGCTGCATCATAAGAAACAAAGTGAAGAATTGTTTGTGGGTTTGCAGCTTTCTTCCAACCATAGGGTAAATTTAAAACTTCATGGGTCTGTTCATTTGCTCCTTTGTGAAATAAATGGACAGTAGGTCAAATCATGCTGCATAGAATGCAAAGGTTTACTGAAGTAAAAAGCACAGCCGTACTCACCATAGTATACAATGGGATGATTGTCCTCGGCATGATCCGGTGAAGAAAATTATCCAGAAATTTCCGAAACAGGAACCATCTGGAGTTGACATGGGACCTCATCTGAAGCATAAGAAATCACAATTGGTTGTTCGGAATTACAACCAAAGTCAATTTTGCACTAGAATACAGACCCAGTTGCCCTCACCTGTTTGGCCTAATGTCTAATGCTTGTGAAATTAGTACTTAGACACCTGTCTCACATTGTACCCTTGTTAACTGTGTATTTAAGTTCCTGCCCTTGCCCTTGTTCCACAGTTGGTCATTATGTTTGCTATTGCTTAGATACCTGTGTTCTTTCTATATTGCTATGTTTGCTCCTGGTTTTGTTGTGTGCGTTTGTGGATGTTCTAGTGTGATTTTCTGATTGTGCTTCTCTTGTGTTTTAGTAAAGCCATTATTAGTATTGGTTTTAACTTCCTGCTTTTGTTTGACACCTCATGGTCTCATTTTTTTCTGTTTTTTTCCCGTTCGTGTACAGATTTGTTCATCTCTGCTGGAACCTTACTGTGGATAGTCTGTCCTTCACTATGGCTGTCTTTCACACCCACATATAATTTAGCATGCTTCAATACTATTACCGTTTCACGTTTGTGTTCTCAATAAATCTGTATTTCTCTTTTTGTATTATAATAGTAAAATCTGGACCCCAGCCTTATGCAATGCTGCCTAGGATAGGCTATAGTCTATGTAACCCCCCGCCCCCTTGCCATTATGAGCAGCATAATAGGTTGGAGGATCGATGGATGATGGATTGACTTGTTAGTAAAGTTCACATCCTAGTAATGGAATTGTGGTTGCACCCTTCAAGATAAGAAATGAATTAATCAAGCTTCATGTGGTGGAAATATGTAAAATTTTATGTATGTAAGTCATTAAACAAGTAAGCAATGTAACTATGATTTTGGCAGAATGTGTTATAATAGTAATACATGCAGTAGTCATTGGGCTAACACAGTGGCTCAGTGTGTAGCACTGCAGCCTCACACTTCAGTGACAGTGGAGAAAAACACTAGATCCATCTCTGGGTTCTCCAGATACTCCTGTTTCCCACCATAGTAAAGAAATGTGCAGTGATGCTTAAAGGCAACTTGCATTCCACCTAAGTGGTTTCCCTGTCTTGTGTGCTGTACATTCTAGAATAGGCTCCAGACTTACTGTCCCCCAGTAAGTTACCCAATAAATAAAGTATCGATGCATCATAATAACAATGTCAGGTTTTGTGGTCATCTCCCTCCTTCAGATGTTATCATACCTCAATATAATTGTACATGGCAAGATCAGCAATGGCGTGGTCATCTGGCACCCTTATTTTGGAATATTCCAGAAGGACAGCACCTAAAAACAACAACTGCACCAAGTAACTTTTATAGCAGAGAAGCATTTTCACTATGTTTGTTAAGTTCACAGTGTAGGTCAGGGCTATTCAAATCACGGTCCTCAAGATCCAAGCACTGCTGATTTTCCAGCCTTTCTTTACCTGTGAGCCAGGCGTGAAGCCTCTGACCAATCAGAATCAGTAATTATTACACTAACTACCTGGGAGAGCTGAAAACACGGCCGGGATTTGGAATCGAGGTCCAGATTTGAAGAACCCTTGTGTAGGTTATACTCACTCAGGTCTTCATTAAATTGGTCCATTATACCATCGAAAACAATGCAGTCCTCGAAGCCCTAGAAATTGAACATGACGTAAAATCCACTCATAAATACTGTATTAACAGATTTTTCTCACTACTAAAAAATAAAACAAACGTCTTATATAACTAGCTCCATACAAGGTTGGACACGGTCAGTCTCCAAAGAAGAATGGTGTTAGAAACTATATATCCATGGTATCTGTATTGTTAGTAACTCAACAAACTATAACACTGATTCAACTAATTAGGTTTTCATTCTAATTCTGAAGTTTATCTGTTTTTTTGAATTACCATCCTCTACCTAATTTTCCTCAAAACAATAAATAGCCAACATGCATCATCAGCTGTGCCTTTTACTGCAATGATATAATACCATTTTTAAAATCATGACATTTCAAGAAATTTCAAGAAACTGAATGCAGTTATACCCTGAGAATGCTAAGTGATTTTCAGTGGGTCTCTGTTTTTCATATCTGTCCTGAGAGACGCATCTGTGTGAATGACTTTAGCATGTTGACTCACCGCATTCATGCCCTGCCCGTAGAAGGGCACTACAGCATGAGCCGCGTCCCCCATGAGGACACACCTGTCGCCCATGTGGTACGGGGAGCTTTTCACAGACACCATGGCTTGGGCCGGCAATTGAAAGAAGTCTCGCTTCAAAGCAGCTCTGTAAGAAACAGTGAGCACACACTCAGTGAAATATGACAAAATTGAATTTGAATTTGATCTACTTCTTATTAGAGATTAATATTATTTAGAATTCTTTACAATATTGCATAACATGATATTCATCTTCCCAACAATAACACTCATAAATATTATATTATTTTCTGACATGAGGGTCTGTGTTTGGCTAAGTTGACTTTAACTCTTTGTACGATAAATTTGTGGAAGCTATGCACCAGCTGAGTGCAGGTTTGAACCTTGCAAAGAAAAAAAATAACATTAAATGTTTTTTTTTACCCTTACGTGCTTGAAAACATGTTAAATCCACAACAATTTAGAATTCTCTTTTGTGATCTCTTTCTGTCAGCTGAGTAAACGCTACGTCTGAGATACAATAATTACTATACTGGCTTCATAATACATGCTATCTGTATGCTCCATGCATGTTTGGTCACTGATTCAAAACAAAGTGCATCTTGCTCTGGATCTTTGAACCTGCAATTTCACGCTTCCTGGACAGAACATGTGTTAGGTGGGGGATGATTTAGAAAGAGCGAGATAAGCGGATAGTTAAAAACATAGATTGGTGGATGGGAAGGTTTGTACGAAACAGAAGAGAGCATTACTTACACTCCCATTAATGGGACAGCATCCGGGAAATATTTCTGGAAAAATTCCAGAGCTTGAGCTCCTGTTGTAATTTTGTCAAACTCTTCAAATGGCATGAACAGGGTACAGGTGAATGTCTTGTCCTGTTTTAAGAACACAGATATCAAGATTACTCTACAAATTAATTTAATTAAGGATTAATTCCTTTTCAAGGAAAACAGATATTAGGATATTGCTAATATACACACGCCATTGGAGCAACAGAGTTAAAAATTGTTGAATGCAATCTTGAAAACAAGAGGTTAACTTGAAATGATGGATGTGGAATAACAGGTCAGAGTGTCATCTGTTCCCGTGGCAACCAGTTTAGTCATGCATCAATGTCATCTATGTGTTTCTCAAGGGTGCAGTTGTGAAGAGCATCATTTTACGAGATGGATAAAGAGAAGAAGCACACAAGCTTATATCTGAATGAGGGTTTTTTTTTAACAGCCCAGAAAGGACAAGAAAACCAAATGGGAATATCACTGCACCAACAGCATTGGTAATGGCTGAAAAATTGCCATATAAGTGACTCACTTTCCATCATTTATGTACTAGTCACGATTTTACTGTCTACAAGGACCACCATGCCATCTGGTTGACTATACTCAACAATAGCTACAGTATCAGCAAAGCTATATGCAATAAATACTGAAGTTTGCAGCTTCTTTCAAGTTACACTTACCCAGTCTTTGAGCATCAAAGGGTATCTGTAAGTTTACTCAAGCTTGGTTCACAAAGTTCACAAAAGCTGTTAAACTATTAACTGATAGGGTGCAAAGTTGGTTCTATAATATTCTATCCCTCTTCCAGCCTCACCTAATTGGTGTCATGTGGCAGGCATGGGGTACATCTCAGGCAGCGTCGGTAAGATTCCAGTTCATCACAGGGCACATACTTGCAAACACTATGAGTTGCATAGTCATTGGACACTAATGCTGCATGTCATTGGACATAAGGATAAGGAAACATAAGGATACAGAAGTACCCAGAGGAAACCCAAGTCCATAATTCTGAGAAATCAAATTTGGCGTCACAACAAAAGCAGCCATTGCAACTAATGAAGTTTTGTCTTCCTCACAAACAGCAAAAACCATGGCAATTAACAGTGCTGCTTGCTTCTGTTACAACTCACAACCAAACAAAACCAACCCACCATGTTTGGAAGGGCGATCATCATGAATGTGTTCCGTGGCCAAATGTGGAGAAAATTCGGTGCAATGGCAAACTGAAAAGAAGAACACAGCAGTAAATACAGTAGGCTACATAATACTGCAACACATTAAATTAGTAGATTGATTCTGTTATAAAATGTATCTTAAACATTTCATACAGGTACAGGCAAAGAATGTAAAACTGATCCCCATTATATAACTGTGTGATGGGCAATGTACAATTACAACCCCAACCTGTCCATTAATGGGGGGCATGGTCAGCTCTATGTATCCATGGGGAATATACGTCTGACTGTAGTTAAAGCGACTCTGACGAAGAAACTGCTTTCTGACGGCTGAGAAAGCCCCATCGCAGCCCACAATCAAGTCAGCATAGATTTCTTCCTCAGTGCCATTTGGTCTGAAATATAGAGTTGCAGGTGGTTTTAGGGACAGATAAATGCAGATTGCAGAGGAATACCAGACTACACACAATTACTAGCAGTCATGTCCATAATAAACTAGTAAAGAGTATATGAGGATGAGCGAAATAACAGAAACACTTAAAAATATATTAATATTGGAGGAAACAGTGCTTTGGGAAAGTTTCTTCAAAATATGCTAGGGGTGCAAAACATAATGCTAATCAATATGTCAGGCCCCCAGAGTGCTCCCTCCCCATCACTCACCGATTCAAAGCATATTATTGGCTAAGGAAAAGGTTGGCCCCTCTGTAATAATTGTTGCCCCGCTGATGCCCCCACATTAAAAAAAATCCAAGAATTGCTCTTGGCTCCTGGGATTGGCTGATCCTGCTATCTCAGTTGTAGATCACTTTGGATAAAAGTGTCACCTAAATAAGTAAATGTCAGGATTGGTCCCTGTCCTACCCTGGGCCCTTTGTCATTTCCCTGTTTTGCCAGCAGGTGATGATGGTCATCCTGTCTCCCGTTATTTCCCAGGTTTGTTTTAGTTCTTAGTGTGTTTCCCATTTCTCTGTTTGGCTGAATATGCTAAGAGTATGGCTGAGCATCTAGGATACTCTCACGTTGTGGGTTCAAGCCAATGCGGGACTGTTTGTTTATTAGTTTTGTTTTCCCCTTGCTAATATGATCATGTATTGTTGGCATAGTTCCATGTTTCTAGTTATCCTTCTGTTCAGCTTGTAGATATTTTCTGTACCCATATTTCCAGTCTTTCCTAGTGTTTGTGACTGTAGTAATTCTTAATTAGGCTCATTTGTTTCTTGTTAGTCATTGTCCTCAGTGTTCTGTAATAGCCCACACCTGTCCTTTATTGAAGACCTCATTATACAGTATGTATATATGTGCCTGCCCTTGCCCTCTATTCTCAGTTGGACATTGTGTGTTTGCTGCTGTTCTGCTATGGTTGTTTCTGCATTGCTCCCTGCCTTAGTATTGTTGTTGTTGTTTTTTTTTTTACTCCTCATAGTCCTTTTGTTTTCTTGTGTGTTTTGTGAGTCACAATGTGGGTCATGCATCTTTCACCATGCCCATCCATAACAGTAAAGGTAGTAGGATCATCTGTTGCCTTCAAAATACCTTCAAACCTTCTTGAGATGCTGCATATAGTGATAGATAACCTAGTTCTGGTTTCTTGAAGGACTCAGTGCTTTTGAATTTCCCATGTAAGTTTATTAAAGTTTATATCTGCTGACTATGTAAGGTTCACTCCTGAAGTTGTGTATGAGGGCAGTATCACCTTGAAATATGGGAATATCATGAGGTACCTGGTCTAGTAAAATTGCCTCCTGTTTTTTTATGTTATATGGCCAGTCTTTGACTTATATGACTAGTCTTTGGACCTAATGACTCTCACAACATGGCTGCCAAAACCATTATGAATTCCTCACCATGCTTGACTGTTAGTTTTCTGCATACGTAAACCAATCTGGATGTTGAGAAAGTGTGGGAAATGACTCATCAGACCATTTTAATTTTTCCACTGCTCCTGTTTTTGTGCTTCTGAGCATTGCCCATGGGTACAGGCAGATTTTTTGAAGGCAACTCTGACAGAAAATCCAGCTTTTAGAAGCTCACAACATTCAGTGCTGATTGTCAGACTTCTTCAATAGCTCACCCATAGTGCTACCCAGCATTCAATGTCATATAAACCAGCTTGGTTCGTGTGTTTATAATTCTGCTTTGGTTACTTTAATGTTAAAGTCATTGTTATATGGTTTTCTGTCCATTACCTGTATATATTTATTTACAGCTCACTATGCCAGAAGCTATGGCACAATATTGCCATTAGTAATGAAAAATTGTAGTAGGTTGTTTATAGGGCTAAAAAAATGCAATATCCATGTGTTTCCTTGAACACACCAATCCATTTACAACCACCCCTTGTTTAGTGAACGAGTTCTGTTCCAGTGACCAGGTCATTAAGTGAAATGGTCACTAAATAAAACTCATGGTAACCATGGTAGAATTGGGCTTCATGCTGCAATTAATGATCATTGGTTGCTGCTGTCTCATTCCGATGAAGTTCTCAGTCAGCTACACCAGCGTTACTCTCACTCTGGCTTGTATTATTGTCAGGTGTGCAAAATTTGGTCGTAAATGCATGCATTGGTTCGAAAATTATTTATTTATTACCGTCGTATTTGCAAACAGTCACTAACCGAGGTAGTCGCTAATCGAGGAGTGGTTGTAGACATATTTGTAACTTAAATGTTGATTCTGACATGAAGTAAGTACAGACGCTCCTCTACTTATGAATGAGATCGTAACTTGAAATGTTCGTAAGTTGTTATTCAACATCATTTTAAGTGTATACGCAAGTACAAATATCTAGGATGCTGGGAGTACGCACGCTACGCTGCTGCGCGGCGGGAGTAGCGGCCAGAAGTCGTACTAGGCGGGATCGGAACAAAGAAAAAAAAAATTGATGTTGCGGACAGGAAACGGGAGCCCAAGGAACACAGTTTGGACTTACAGTCCTCTTCGTTCGTATGTCTGAAAGTTCATAAGTTGAAAGTTCATAAGTAGAGGAGCATCTGTACTCTTACATAAATCAGATGTGCATCAACATGAACAATGAGAACCACGTACCTAAAAGCATTTATGGCCTTCAACTTAATGTCATATATCATATATAAGTTGAAAAGTGTAATAAGCTGGACCCATATGCTGTGGTTCATCACATGAGTTTGGTCACGCATAGCCTGAGAGCGGTCATTACCCCTGGAAGGTCATCATCCCCGAATCAAAGCTCCAGTCCGAGAGCTTGTATCCAAAGTTCAGCTTCGTGTTTGGGTAAGCTTCCGCAGCTAAAAGTAAAAACTGAACATAAATCCACTGTTACCGTGACAATAAATTCAAAATCACATTACGTTACAGGAATCTCTGGAATACATTTTTTAAAAAATAGGTTATTGTTAAAAATCAATGTGGACTGCTTAATTTACTACTCATTTCTTTGTTGGTTGCTGTGGTTGTTTTGAGAATTTTTAAGGGACTGCATGGGATATATTTTTTTAACCTTTTGTACATTGCTCTGGATAAGAGGGTGTGCTAATGTAATACAGTACGTCCTCAAAATGTTTCTGTAAAATTACTTACATTATTCTGCAATGGAACTGTGTAAGGTGCAGCCTAAATACCACATCACTATCTTCCAGTACTTTGACATTGCCTGCATAAAAGCTACTCGCATATCAGACTCATTTTGAATATGAAACAATATGTAAATGAGAATGATTTACAGCTGCTCCCAGGATGTTACAGGTTAAAACTGAAAAAGCATATTTAGCACCTCTCTCTACCTGTTAAGAGTTCCTTATTGAGGTTGGCTCTGTCCACGGACAGGATGTACTGGAAAGAAAAGAGCGAATGAGCGAACCACCCTCTTAACATAATGGGTTTTTAAAAACAACATCACATTTTTCGCCTGGTCAGTGTCAAAAGCCACGATTCCATAGGACTTCTGGAAAATGTCACTGAGGAAAGCAAGTCATTACAGTAGATGGACTGGGTCAGACATGAAAAGTGCTCATCAGCCAAATTGCCCTTTTAAAGGCTGAGGATACGCTTCAGGAGGGAAACCAGGCACATCCATCAGACAGGGCTCTTACAATCTGATGCTTCTATGACCAGTGAGCAAAACACCCGGTTTCCACACAAAGACAACCTACATTTGTGCTTAGTGATTAGTCTGTCTTACCTTAGTCTCTCCCTATGATGAAGGGATCGCCATCCTCAGCTAACTGACCTAAATGCAGCACTACTTCATGCAATAAAAACATAATTGTCTCTAGTTGCTACCATGGCAACTAGACACCCCTACATTATCTGTATTCTGCCAAATCTAGCCATCATATTTCTGTACACCTGAGCTGCAGCTGTATAACCCACAAATCTGCATAACACTGATGTCAGAACCTCTGCCAAAATTACTAATTGAGTATTTCACCTGGTTAACCTAATTATTAAACTATGTTAAATTTCTCTGGCAAAAATTCTTATGTTCTGAGGAGTCACACTTCACAAATACACTGGGACTGAGCTCACCTACTTCCACAATGATTTAGCAGCAGTGCCTCCCAGAAATCAATACTGTAAGTGCTTGGTCTACAGTAAAGCAATCCAACCTCTGGGTTTGTAACCAAGAGACTGCAGGATTTTATGTAAGTTCATGGTCCATTAGCTCTTTCAACAAAACCAGAGCTTAGGCTTCAAAATGCAGACTTACTACTATTACAAGAAAATGAATATCATAAACCTACTGAAATGGTCGAATCTTCAAAATCGTGTACCGGGTACAAAAGTGTTAATCTATTTTTCTTTTACAGATTGTTTGTAGGTGTTGAAATGACATTGACTGACAACGTAGAGGAAAGGTTATAAACTGGGCTTGTTAAAAATTCTAAGTCCAGACTTATTGGTCTCACTTTCCGAGACACAATAGCACATTTGCTGGTGTGATGTTAAAACTGAGCCTTACCTGACTCTTTTTTCCATAAGGAATTGGGGACTGTTTCCCACTAATGGAGTGGATCATGCGAGCATGCATTGGAATCCCCTTCGAAACAATCTACAATGAAAACCTCATGTTAAGAATCGTAACCTTCCATTCATTGGAAACCATGTCTGTTGTCAATGTATTTTGCCACATAATGTCTGAAATTGACTATAATCTGATAATGGACACTGACTTAAGTCAGAAGTCACAGTGGCTCTGTGGGTAGCTGTGTTGCTTCATACCTCTAAGGTCGTGGGTTTCAGTATTGCATCAGCCCTGTGTACAAGGGGTTTGCATTGCTCTGGTATCCCTTTATCCTCCCACAGATATGCATTTATGCTAGCTGGTGTTTCTAAATTGGCTACAGCATGTGAGTGTGTGAATGCCCTGTGACTCTGTCTAAGATAAACTATTGGATTAGATCTTGTCTGAATGAGTCAGGCTGAAAAGTCACGGAAGTGTGAAACCTGGACTGGACCAATGTGTGGTCTAGCAGAGTGACAACATGCGCTATAAAGAGATACTGAAATCATATGTACGTGCATTCTGGCATACTGGCACCCCTTCCTGGGTGTACATCAGGGACAGGTACTTGGCCATCCTGTAATCCTTACTAGCACTAGTACATGGAAGATGGATGGATGGATGTGTTTGTATGCATGGTCACCTTTTCCTCCATCCCAATGTGCTTTAGAGCCTCACGTCCTCGGAGGGATAAAGCCAGGTTTATGCTTCTGCCACGCACAATTTTAGCCTGGCGGATATCTGTGGATGGTCCAGGAGTCGGCAGATGTTATGGGCACCATACAGATGATACTTACACACTCGAATTCTAAAAGACACAGTCTGTGTTATTCAAATGATTAAACACATGTAAAGTATCTGTGATTAGCTGCATTCAGTTCACGGGTTTGGTGTCTGCTCACCAACCAATATCATTGGGTTTTACTGTGAAATTCCCCTTGGTTCTTTCCAACAGTAAACTGGATTTCTATTACATATGCATCTTAGATAAAATATGTATCCGCTAGTCTTAAAATATCATTGGGAGGTGGCCAGCAAGCAAGGTACTATGTATCATTATTTCATTCACAGGGCATGTATTAGAGGACAGCTGGTCTAACAGCCCATTTCAGCATCTTGGTGTCATTGTGCTTTAAATAGGTGCCGACCAAAGCTGACTTAAAAATGTGGAAAATTCGTTCATCACTGATTGTCTCAAACAGGAAAGGCAATGACAGAGATAAAACTTTTTAGAAAACTTTGGTTACCTTCACGTGATTCAAAGAGCTGTACCTGAAAACCCCTTTTTGCCAAGAAGGATGCATTCAAAGCACCGACCTGTATGAGAGTTTCAGTCAGAATATCACACTGAGGCTCAAGTTACTGATCGTGGCCACCTATTCCCCATAATTGTTTATAAATGTATTGCTTTAAAAAGCAACGTACAACAATAGTTAATACACCATAGATGGGTTTTGATTTTTTTTCATGGGGTGATAGATTTTTACAATTCACAGGGGCAATTCTACGATTTTACCCCTAGGGGGACTCATCCCGCTGAAGAGATACGGGACGTCATCCACACCCCATCATGAAATTTGCCGAGAGGACAGGAGCAAAGTTTGCCCAGGCGGAGTCCGAAATGTATACGAAAAGACAAATCGCTAAGTGATTTTAGAAAAGTTGTTTTTCGGGGGGCTGATCGAGAGCTACCTATGGGTATTATTTTAACCAACTTTTACTTTCAACGTAGGCTTCACAGTTTAACGCGTGAAAATCATTACAAAATTAATCAACAAATTGAAAAACTTTCGCTTGTTAAGTAATGTGTGCAATTTGTATGTATAAAGATATATTTTTAAAAAATGCAGAAAGGTTGTTTAACAACACGCTCCAATTGCGAAATGCAAAACGGCAGAACCACCATAGAAATTAATCATACAGTTAAGTTGCTAACGCTCAGTTATCAAATAGTTCATTCACAATTTTCTAGAGATAAAACTGGGTAAACCAAAAATACAAAACCGAAGAGACAACAACATAGTAGTTATACTAGCAAAATTTGACCTAGTTGACAGATAATGCGATATCGTAAATGACTGAAGTTTAATTTATTAAAATTCATTTTATTCCGTTTGATTACAGTGATGTGTTTGTTCTTTCAGTTTTGTTTCTTACCAAACCACCTCCAACTACGGCAACGACTTTTTTCTTCGTAGGTTGAGGATCCATCGTCTTGGCTGGTGTGCTGCACATTGTTAACGATATCGATAAATACAAGGCACAGTAAAATTTCTCGCGTTTCCAGTGTACGGGTGTTACCAAACAACTACGTCACTTGGTTCATAGAAGTGATTTTTAGTTCCCCTTCATCTTCGTAATATAGACGTAACTGGAATGTTCAGCTCGTTTTTTTTTTTTCCATTTTGGTCATTGCTCAACATGTAAAGGTAAAGCTGAGGTGAGGTCCACAGTCCACAAACATCACTCAATTAGTAACTAAGCATAATACAATAACCTAAATCTGTACTAGGCCTACTTAGTATCTAAATATCTAAAATAGTGAGGGGATCAAAATTCATAACACCATATAAAGTTGTTATATAGTCAGTATCCTTTCAGTGTAGGAACAAGCAGAAATGCCTACTAATCTGGGGCAGGGGCCCCCTGGCAGATTCAGGTAGCCCGGGTGCCGTGGAGGGCGACTCGTACTTTAAGATTGAAAGTGGAAAACCCTGCCCACAAATGGGCCCATTTTGTCACGGGTCCCAGAATTTCAAATCACTCCCCTGATTGGGGATAATAATACTGTCGGATTATGCAATAATTGCCGCTCTTTTAATTTATGTTTCCGCTTTAAATATTATGAACATAACCATTGGGTGACTAGAAATTATTATTAGACCTACAGAAGGAAAAAATAATCACCACAGAAAAAATAACAGTATTATTGCTATTATCATTATTATTGTGGTTGCTGCTGTTTTTCTTCCTCACCTTGTTCATAACAAATGAAAATACATGTAAGGTACAACAAAAATAACTATATAAGCAGTACTACATACAAGTCACTCTGGCACACGGGCAGTTTCTTGTATTTCTGTTTATTGGTAGCTGACAGAAACCATGCAAGTTTTTACTACCATCTAGTGTTCAAATTCTCAACTTACACTATATGGACAACAGTAGTGGGACACCTGACCATTACACCTACAGGAACTTTTATGACACCCCATTCTAAATCCATAGGAATCAATATGGAGCTGGTCCCCCAATTGCAGCTATAACAGCCATATAGTGTAAGATAACATTCCTATTGTCCCACTGAAAGTGTTTAATCACTAACACATACACACACACACGTGTGCAATAGATTCTGTCAGCTATTTCGCTAGCCTTGGGGATGACAATGACGAAAATCGCGACTTCCAGTGTGTGTGTGTATATATATATCCGGCCAAAGATTCCATACAATGTTTTTAATTTTATGGAATCAGAAACATTTAATCCTAACGGCCATGAAATAGCACAATGTAAAATCTAACTGACAGCACTTTCGTCCCTGAGTGAGCAGCAAACTCTGAGAACAGCGTGTAGGATTCTGCTGGACCCCTCCCATGCTCTGTCCCCAGAGTTTTAGTGGCTCCCCTCAGGATGACGGCTCCCCTGTCCCATCTGCAGGACAAAGAGGAGGAGACCGACCTTTGTTCCCATGGCTGTTCAACTCCTCAACTCACACACTTCTCTTCCCCCCCCCTGCACTGGAACCCATCAGTCATTCTGCACTTGAGCCCCCCCATGCCCACTAACAATCCCTCCCTTTACATATTTTACATATCAGTTCTTATCTACCTGATTGACTGCAATTTTGCACAGCATCCTTCAAACACTGTTGCACTTTATGTCATTGTGTCCTGTCCTTAGTCACCTGACCTGTGCTCCTTTAATTGCCCCTCGGGGACAAATAAAGTTATTTGAATTTGAATTAAGTTTTGCTGTTAGTAGTCGCTAGATGTCGCTCATTGTGTATTTATAATAGATTCTGTCAGCTATTTCGCTAGCCTTGGGGATGACAATGACGAAAATCGCGACTTCCAGTTAAGAATGAGTAAGCATATTCAAAACACTGTACTGAGTATTCATCTACATTAGAATTGCTAACAGCATTCCTCTGGCCTTCTGTTTTGAGGCTTGAAGCGATATTGGAGTAATTCTTATAACTATAGTAGCCTACGCATAATAAAATATACAATTTATGCCTTAACATTATTTAATAATAGAAAATGCAGCCTATGACAGGAAGTCAAAAAGTCACAAAGCGCTAGTATTCAGATTCATAATTAAGGTTCATTCGTAATTTATTGACCAAAGGAAGAAAAATGTATAGCATATAACAAAACAATAAATGGCCGTTACCAATGGCAGGAATGAAAACATATGATATGAAATACCTAATATATTTGGGAGTTCTGCATTTTTCCCACTGTCTCTTTTCTGAGGTTGTAAATTTGGTTGGTAATTCCCTCATAGCGGGTCTGTGTGGGCAGAGGCATTTGCATGCTACATGTCGTTGTCTTCATTGATTAGTCTGTTCTCCTGCTTCGGTAGTAATAAGCTGTACAACTAAAGTTATATATGCGGTTTACTTAATAAGATAATAAAAACATTTACTTTTCCTTAGTTGACGTGTAATACCAAACGAACTTTCTACAAATTACTATAGCCACGAATCATAGATGACAGCGGGCTGTTAAATTTACTAAACTAATATTTTTACTGAGTAATTTCCAAGAGGAATCCAGTCGACAAGAATAACATAACTCCATGTATAAAAAAAATGTAAATTCCAGTTTGCCAACTCTTTACCAGGTTAAGTAAACAATATTTGCATTGAGTCAACGTCAACTACACTGTAATGGAACAGGCGTATTAATCAATTTTAGTCAACGTATTAATCTTATATAAGATGTGTTAACATCGTTTCGAAAGGCAAACCCAGTTGTGTTAAATATTTAAATAGAAATGAACGACATAAATGGATTTAATGAAAAAAGTCAGATTTTGATCAAAAGGAAAGATTCTGAAATCGATTGAGTTTGTCTTGAGGTTATGGCGTTGTACCTTTTAGACATTTTCGGTATGCAGCAATGTGTTAGCCGACGGGCCCGGTTTACGAAATACCTTCCATTAATTAGAAAGTACTCATATATTCTGCCTGATTTGGGGTAAGTGATAGACAGCCAAAGGTCGGATCATCAACAGCCTTCCGGTATGTTTAAGTACTGTACGTCTTTATAGCTATCTGCGCTTGGTTATATGTTTTCCGCTGAAGTTGAATGATGCTAACTATTGTAGCCGTTAGCTGCACTTTGATGCACTTACAGATGACCGAATTTCGCGAAGATCGCACATAGTCGAGCAGATAAAATTATCATAACAAGTGTCTTTTTCCGCTCTCCAAACGACGTTTTATATTCCGCCGTATCGCATGAATACACGGGTAACTAAAGTCTGGCAATAGCGATGCCAAGGATTGAAAATGTAGCTGACTGGTGGTTTTAAGCCGCACTGTCGTTGCGGACCGGTGTGATCCCTCTTTCTGGGTGGCAAGGCCGGATTCGCACGCTGTTCAGTTTCCAACCCATAGTGCAGCTCTTGTACGAGTCAAAAATAACGACTGAATACCTTGACGGCGGCGATTTGCTCTTTAATATTTAACGATAGCCACGGTGTAGTTAAAACGCATACAATTTTCATGCCCTTTGTGCACGTTAGCTTTTTTTGTAACCTTGCTAACCCCTGCCTACTGGGAACAGTCCCATGGATGCCTGTTTGATAATGAGGAGTTACAGATGTTTATAATCCCTTAAAGACAAGTACTACTTTGTTTGCCAATTATTTGTAAACACAGACGACAAAGGTAATACAATCTTCTTTTGCTGCTTACTTTTGTAACTACCTAGTTAAGTAGCCAGCTGAAATCTTAAGCTGTTTTCTTAATTGTATCCAGGGCAATTACAGAATAGGGTTTGTATGTAATTTATACATGTTTGGAAATCTGTGTTGCCAGTGTATAGTAGTACGCAATGAGCCTTCCACTTTTTATTGGTGATTCTGTTGTAATCGTGTGAGGAGCATAATGGAATCCTTATGGTTTGACTATATGAGTATAAATGTTACGATAGGAAGGTTTAAGTTTTAAAAGTGAATAGGTTAAGCTTGTTTGTTTCTATCTCTGTCATCATCTAGTGAAAGTGCTATATTAAACCACCGAGTGTTTTGCGAGGTTTGTAGAAATATTGTACACTTTCAGCGTCGTTACTTGGTCACTCTTAATAATTCAGCGATCAGTTGTCAAAATAAATTCTCAAATGCACATATGGGCAGATTTAGCAAAAGATTAAGTACAAAATATGCCGCTAGAATAGCACTAAGCATTGTTTCAGTGTTGTTGTATTAAATGTTTGGTTGACACCAACATATCTCATGAAACAGGTTTAAGGGAATTGTGTTGTGGGAGTTATGGTAAGGACGTTTTTGCTGTGCAAAATGTAATTTATTTGTACAAATCTATAATATGTGCAACCTCCCCCTATTTGCATACAGCAAGTAATAAATTACAAGAGAATAAAATAAAGCTGAGGTGTTTTCAGAATGCTTTCTGTCGGTGTGTATACATTGGTGTCTGAGTGTTGTATTACAGTTCCTGTAATGCCTCATCTCCTTCTCTCTTCCATGCGGATTCGATCCTTTTAGCTGGTCTGCTCGGCTGTCTAGTCTGAATTAATTATTGAAGGTCAAGTGAAGGACTCTTAACTGAGATCAACTGTCTGATCATGAGGCTGCGGAAGTAATCTTGATGCCACGCAGCATTTTCGGAGCGATCATTTTAAATATAAATAAAAATACCTCAAAAATTCCTTGTGTCTTAAAATATAGTTTACATGTAACTGTCTTTGTGAATAAGTCTGTGGGTTATGATGTTTTTTCCCCCTTCTTTTCTTCATCACCTTTACTTTATGTTTTGCTGTCTGAACTTCCATAGACCGATGACTGATGTAAAGCCTGTTATCTTTTTGATCTAAAACTTTTTTTATTTTGCATGCATTCTTGCTTCTAATAATCTGTTTTGCTAGGACCTCATTTTGATTCTGTTTAGGTTTTATCAGTTTTATCAGGCTGACCTGCGTGTGGGCTTCTTTGCTCTGTTCTGCGTCTGCACTAGTTCCATAGTGACGTGTGTAATATTGTGGTTGTGATGATGTGAGATCTCTAATGGTAGGCCTTGGTGTAAATGTATGGCACTGTCGTTGGAGTGTAGCCTGTCGTTGGAGTGTAGCCCATCATGGTGAATTCTATGGTGGCAGAATGAATATGACGTGTATCATGGGCAAAGGGCAGCCACAAATGGGAATATAGGCATGCTCCAGCGCAGAATAGTCACAGC